ATATATATATATATAAAGAAAAAATGCATACATAATTCATACATACACACACACATATATATATTTTCTCTTTGGCTGGCTGTATGGCCTGCTGCTGTGCGCAGGCCTTTTGTGCGAGCGGCCAGTCGCGCTTGCTGTGTTCAAGGCTTGCTGCATGGCCTGCTGTTGTGCGCAAAGCCAATCGCGCAGTGCGCGACCGTGTGGCCTTACTGCGCAGGCCTCTTGCGCGAGCGGCTAATCGCGCAAGGCGCGACTGATTTTTTTTTTAAACATTGACAGTGTGATATTACTGTTAATGATTTGCTGTTGCCAATTGTTGGCAGTGGCAGTAGCTTAATCCCTTTTTTTTATTTATTTAATCATCAAATCAATAATCTAAGGATTATTATCTATCCAAAACCAGGCTCGATACCACATGTAAAACTAACTTTCTTGCTTAAAGATCAAAACATAAATCATTCTATGCAATGATCAAGACATAAATCATTCATGCCCATTCAGGATCTTGAATAAAATAATAATCACATGAGTAAAGCGAATAAATTACTTACCTTGAGCGGAATTCATCATGATGTAGAGAGAGCTTTCAACAATCACGAACTTTATAAATTAGTTTCTCTGCCTTGACCCCCTTTTCCGTAGCAGGTGGCTTGATGGATAGCCAAAATACGTACGTTCGTATTTTTATGTTTTTTCTCGCATACTCCTTTAGGATAGAGAGAGGACTAGTTTATATACCTGTTAATATTAAATCTTGTACGTCCATCAAGTACTAAATTAACGGTACAGATTTAACATACTATTAAATTAAGAAAACCCGAAACCAACTTAATATGAGCTTACATAAAATATGGGCCATAACATCAGGCCATATTTCTTACATTATATCGTTTGAGAATAGCAAACCCGTCACCATCTGACTTGTAATTTATTCATTGTTAGGTTTGCCATGATATCTTCTCAGGTCAGCTTTTAATTCAAGATTAATTTCATTATAAACTAGGTTTTAGACGAGCCATCTCTATTTAAATTGATATATTTACAGAATTTTTTTAATAAATTAATTTAAAAATTGAATTTGCTTATCACTAGAGATCCAACTTTGAAATAATATTAAGGTTAATATTTTCACATGTCTTTACCTAATATAATAAATCAATTTTCTTATATATTCTTAAAATAAAAAATCATGTCTAATTTGTTTTTATATTTTGAAATAGTTTCTAATCTATCATTTTAATTAGGATTTTCAACTAATTTTCACAAATTAATTTTTATATTAATAAAAATAGATTATTTTTATTAAATAACAAAAAAAGTTAATTAAATCGCATATCATATACTTAATTTATAATAAATTAATTTAAAATTTTAACTAAAAATTAGATTATTAGAATATAAAAACAGATTGAAAATGACGGATCCGTTAAATTGCATCATGGAATTTGTGTGTCAATCTGTAACCTTTCTAGCCGGTTAATGCTAATCATGCCAGACTTCGTCCCGGTAACACTGTCGGGGCGCACCGAAATGCCAGATTCATGACAAGAAGACAACGTTTTTTTTTCGCGTGAAGTTTTTATTATGAGCCACTTAAATTGTAGGGGTTTTATATGAATTTCATGGGGAAGGAAATTTGGTCCCGGTCAATCTATTCTTTGTTTTAATCATGCCAGATTGATTGGGCACAAGGAGACAACAACATTGGGTGCCATTTGGTGCCGGCACCAACTGTGATTTTGGAACAGTGTGAATCAGACACGGTTTGATTGGGTAAATGCTTTTGATTTGGTGATTTGTGGGACCAGATAGTGCTTTCATTTCCGTAACTTTCATCGCAAGTGCCTAAACTTAAAACGTAAATAGTCTTTAGAAATTTTATATTTTTATATTATTTTGTATCTATTCGATATGGCATTGTTTTTTTTTTCTTTAATGTTTTTGAATGTTAAAAAAATTTATCCAATATCAAAAAAATACAAAAAATAAAATATGAAAATATAAAATTAAAAATAGATAATCTGTTACGAGGCTTTAAGTTTTTTTTTAATAACTTGAACACCTTAATTGAATAGGGTTAGAAATTGGAGGATTGTTATATAATTTTTCTTTTTCCACTTGCTGATTTGTCTTGCTTGGCTCGATTACATGGAATTAATTACGATGTGACTTCAATGCGCTTTTTCTTTTCCAACTGGAATTCTTTGTTTTTTTTTTTTTTCAGACCATTTTAAAAATAGACTTTTTAAGTCCGCTATTTATCAACCTGATATATTTTGAAAAAGTTTAATAAATTCTTCAAAAAAAATCTTGAAACTGAAGATATCTTCTTAAATAAAAAAGCTAAACCAATGACATTCTATTTTATGAATTTAAATGATTTTTAACGTGACTTGAACGTATTTGTTCTATAGGCAAAAAATAAATGCCATTTTGATAATGTATTCCTACAAAATCATTGAAGGACAGAGAAAATAATTGTGCCATTAATTGCGATTTGTTTATCGGTATAAAGACAAAGGGAGATTTGCTCCTATTGAAAATCATTTGATTTAACTTATACTAAAGATTTTTTTTTACGAGGCGGCAATGTGGCGTACAATCTATTTTTGGTGGCAATCATTTGATGTATATTTTTTTCATATTACAAATACTCTAAAACAAAAGTCACATTTACTATATATTTATTGTTTTTTTTCACTATTTAATAAATAATATTTTTTGGATTTTTTTTTACTCTAAAACACTTTACTGTTAAATTTTTTTTCTCTTCTCTGTCGGCCTTTCTTCAACTTTTTACAAGCAAAGGGTTTTTTTTTCTTTCTAGTTTCACTATACATGTTTTTCCTCCTTTGCCTTTTTTTTCCCTATAAATTTAGTTTTTTATTTAATTTTTTAAAATTTTTAGGTTTATTTTATTTTGATCTCTAAAATTTTAATCCCCTAACTGATACACTACATATAGTTTTTTTTCTTTACTTTTTTTTATCGATTTATGTTCTTTTTTTATTTAATTAGGTGTTAAAATTTGAAAAAATGAATCGATATTTTTTTTACACAAACTAACTATTATATAATAAATACGATATTTTTTATATTTATATGATATATTCTTTTCTTTTTTTAGTTACGTGTTATTTTTATAATTTTCATAAATGTATGTTTTTTTATTTAATCGGGTGCTCTATCTATCGGTAGCGTCGTACGGATAATTTTAAAAATTAATCTTCTTATTAACGTTAAATAATTTTTTTTCTTATTTATTAATTTTTAAAAGAATGATACATTACTTTATAACTAAAAGAGGTGGGATGTTTAAATAGTGATTTTCACTATTCACCCTCTCACAAATCACTATTCACTATTTTTTTTATAATTTTCAAGTTGTTTCATTTTAGTCCCTAATGTTTTTTTTAAAAAATTTAACCCCCTAGCTGGTATACTACACATTTGTTTTTGAGTTTTTTCCCTTTGATTTTTTTCATCAATTTATATTTTTTTTATTTAACTGGATGTTAAAATTTTAAAAAATCGATCGTTATTTTTTCATATAAAGTCGACGATTATATAATATATACGATATGTTTTTAGATTTTAGAACAAATATATACTACTGTTATTGTTTAAAATTGATCTTTTCAATTTATTATAAAAATTCACTTCAATTTAATTTTTATTCTTATTTTTATATAATTTTATTTATTAACAAATATGATTTATTTTCTCTATATATGGATTCGAATAAGTTTTTTTTACAACTATTTTTATTTGCTTAATTCTCATATAATCAAAATTTAAAAATAAAATATATGTATTTTATTTTCTTATTCTTTATATAATCAAATTTTATCAAAATCAATTATATATATTTTTTATTGCACTCTATCAACTTCACTATATATTTTATAATTTAATTTTTTTAAAAATATTTTTCAATTTATGCTATACATTCTCACTCATTGAGTATGGTCATAATATATAAAATAATAATAATAATATTAGAGTTATTGATTTTATTAGAAATCGATTGTGTATCTACATATAATACCAACTATTTGTTATTATTTTTTAATATTTTAAAATTATTTTTTAAAATAAAATAATTGAAATAATATTTTAGAATAACCGCCTAATAATTCAAATACAATTTTGTATACTAATATTATTCATTATTTTGTATATATATATATATAAATCAAATGTAAATATTTTAAAAAATAATCTTCTCATGAGTAAAAAAGCTTTATTTGTTAATTTTCATATAAGTTTTTATATTAATTGTTGTTTTATTTCTTCGATGTAATGTTATGAAATAAATATTAAGTTTTTTTTAAAATTTATATTAAAATTTATTTATTATGGGTTTTTATTTAAGATTCAATGCATAAAAAAGAACAAATCATATGTTTTTTACTTCAAAATTTATTCAAAACATAAACAAAATATATAGATACAAAATTTTGATTAAAAATTATAAAATTAGATGAAATTGTATTTTTTATATTTAATTTAATATATTTTAATTAATCGACAATATAGTATGTATTATTAAACTCAAATAAATATGTTTAATTCGATCTGCGGCGTAGCGTGAGGATCCGAACTATTTATATGCATAAAATTCCTATTTACTTATTCTTTATGTGCATAAAATTATTATTTACTTGATGGTGATTTAAGTAATTTTCGTGTATGGTTTTTTTTTTTGGCATTAATATGTAAATTTAACACTTTTTTCTATTTTTGTCTCTCATGCTGTAACATTTTTTTTTCAATTATCATCTTTTATTTCCCTATAGCGTATGTATATTACATTTTAAATTAACATATACTTCATCTTATATTACTCTTATTATTAAAATTTCATTCTTTGAATTTATATTTTTTTATGAAAATTTTCATCCAATTAATATTTTTTATACAAAACTTTATCTACTGATAAATGTAATTTATTTTTTTATGTATTTTAATTTTAGAATAAAATTTTAAAACATGATTGTTTTTTCTTTTTTAAAAAATAAATTAGTATAACATATATCATGAATTCTTAGAATTTTTAAATGATAATTATATATATATAAATATATAATTATTTTATTCTAAGGGGTTAAAAGTGCATTTCAAATAATTTTTCTTAGTTCACTAGGTATGGTCAAAATATATAAAAAAAACTATTAAATCATTATTTTTATTAAAAAATAATTATACATCTTCCAACATAATACATTATTTACCATGAATATTTTTTTAATATTATAGAATCAATTTATTTGAAATAGAATAATTAAAATAATTTTTTAAAGGAACCAACCAATTATTCAAATACATTTTTTAATGCTAATTTTATTGATTATTATTTTGTAAATAAATATATAAAGATCAAATGCATATACTTTTTAAAAAATAATCTTCTCACAAACATTAAATAAGAATAAAATTTTATTTTTTCATTAGTTAATTTTTATGCAAGTCTATATATTAATTGTAACTTTATTTTTTGGATACATTCTAATAAAAAAATATTTTAAAAGTATTTATTTTTGAATTCTTAATTAATATTTTAGGTTGAAATTATTATAAGTTTTTTTTTAAGAATCCCTAAATAAAGAAGAATAAATCATATTTTTTTAAACATAAATTTTATGAAAAACACAAAAAAATATTAATAATTAACTAAAAAATTAATGAAAAAATTATGAAATTTCGAAATAATTTTGTTCCATTTGCCTGTAGCATTTTGCGGATAATTTAAAAAATTAATCTTCTCATCAGTATTAAATATGAATTTTTTTTCATTTTTTAATTTTTATAAAAATCTATCCATTAATTATAATTTTTTTTGAAATACAATATTATGAAAAATATGTTTTTAATTTTTTTTATTCTTGATTAATATTTTAGTTTAAATTATTATAATTTTTTATTTTATAATCAATCCATAAATGAGAATGGTTTATTTTTTTAAACATAAAAATTTATAAAAAATTAATTAAATAAAAAATTATAAAATAATTTTATTGTATCATATCCGCAGCCGCAGCGTAGCACAGGCCACTGGCCAGTGAAAACTATAAGCCATGCAGTGATGCCCTAACCATGGCATTATGGGTCTGCCGTACCTCAAAGAAAACACAAAATCCAATGGTTCATATAGTTCGAGAATCACGAACTCAAATCTTTCCACTGTACACTCGTTTTCTAGCAAAATAACAAAATTTGACGCGGTTTTCCATTATGGACTTGGATGTCTTAGTATCTGGCTTGTAGTTTGTTTAATGTTAGGTTGCCATGACACCTTTAGGTAGAGTGGCATACCCCAGAACTAGGAGGAATGGGGAGCTGCAATCTCTTACACAGGCACATGGTGGGATTCCGAAACACTTCAATTTATTTATTTAGGGTTTCGAAATCGACAAATTTAAAGCAGTACTCTACTGCTACTGTTGCCATGCATCGACTTAGGATAATATAATTAGATCATTTCTAGTATTTTTAAATTAATTTTTATATTAATTGAAAATAAATTTATTATTTTTTAAATTAAATGATATCAGAACATGTTTAAATAGTATCTCAAAAAAAATTGTTTTTAAAAATCCAATCGTTCATATAGTTCGAGAATCACGAACTCAAATCTTTCTACTGTACACTCATTTTCTACTAAAATAACAAATGTTTTTCAGGCGGTGTCCTTCACCAATCAAATGTTTCCACATTGCGTAGGTCTCTGGTTGTAAGATTGCATAGTAGATTTGTCTTGTTATCTGGTTTGCAGTTGATTTACCGTTAGGTTGCCATGATACCTTTAGGTAGAGTGATGTACCCCAGAACTAGAATGAATGATGAGCTGTCAGCTGTCAGCTGTACACTTATTTATATCAAATTTTTCCAAAGAGTTGAGCTGCAATCTCTTACACAGGCACATGGTGAGGTTCCACCTAAGCTGGACCAAGAGCCATGGTGGAATCCGACTCCCTCGTGAAACACTTTAATTTAATTTATTTAGGGTTTCTAAATCAGTGGTAGATTCAATGAGTACAAATAAATAATCGAATAAAAAATATTTTATATACTTCCATGTGAAATTTACTTAAAAGCTATATTATTTTATTTTTAAAAAATATATTTTTTATATTGACACTAATCTCACAATTCTAAATATCTTTAGTTTGATTACTCTCGGTGATTTTTGATTAATTTTCTAAATAACAAAATAGTATATAAAGAAAAATAATTTATTTATAGATATTTTATGTTAATCATGTTAGATAATAATATAAATTATATTCTAGATCTGATTTAAAAATTATTTTTAAGTTTTTTTGATAAAATAATTTGTCATGATACCATATCTTCAAAATCAAATGATAACAAATTTGATTCTCATCTTTATTATTATTTTTAATTAATTAAATATAAAATAATATGAACGCGTGTAAGGTATAAAATCATATCTTAAAACGTGGCATAAGAAGTTAAGTTTTTAGAAATAAAATAATTATTTTACGTGTCAATTCTCATGTAAGGCGTTTCTACATCATGTATGATGTTAACAATGTCCAGGCCATGTCTTATTATATATATAAAAAAGAAAAGTGGTCAGGTCGAGGAGACCGACAAGACGTTACTTTATATTTTCCATGCGAGGCGTTTGTTGGTCATGTATCATGTGTGATAGTAATAACGTCAAGTCCACACCTTATTACAATAAAAAATAAAAAATAAAAAAAATGGTCAGGTGGACGACATCACTTTATATTTTCAAACGAATGATCCATGAAGAATCTAAAAGTTGCCTAGTGATGCCCTACCAGTAGTGGCATTATTCTGCCGTACCTCAAAGAAAATACAAAATTTGAGAATCACGAACTCGTCACCATCCATGAATTTGATCTTCCGCTGTACTCTCTTTTCTATCCCAAAAAAAAAAAAAAAAAAAAAAATTCACGTGGTGTCCTTCACCGACCAGTCAAATGTTTCCTCATTGCATAGGTCTCCGTCGTAAGATTGCATAATGTACTTGGATGTCTTATGATCTGGCTTGTAGTTTATTTACTGTTAGGTTGCCATGACATCTTTACGTAGAGTGACGTACGCAGGCACATGGTGGGGTTCCACCTAAAGCTGGGCCAAGAGCCATTATTGAACCCCACTCCCACGTGAAACACTTTAATTTATTTATTTAGGGTTTCGAAATCGACAAAATTAAAGCAGTACTCTACTGCTACTCCTGCCATGCATCGTGACTTAGCAGAAACAGCTATTTTCGAATTAATTTTTACATAAATTAAGATTAAATTAACAGCCATGCATCATGACTTAGCAGAAACAGCTATTTTCGAATTAATTTTTACATAAATTAAGATTAAATTAACACAGGGACTGTCCTGCATCTCAAAGACAGTAAAGAGAAAATTTTCCATCCCTAACCCAAAGAATTGATTTTACGAGGCCCACAAAAGAAATCAAAATAACGGAGAAGCAGGTAAAGGCCGGAAAGGAGAGGAAGCTTAAGTCCCTTTTTGGACTTTTGTTCACTTCTAATTCATAACTGGACAGTCCAGTAACTAATGTCCCAGTATTCAACTGCCATTGTGAGCCCATAATCCTTGCTGCCCTCAAATTCTCCTATTTATATGGTTTTCAACCCCAATTCATCCTTTCAGAAGCCAAGAAAATCGGAAAATGATAAGATAAACCTCTACTTAAAGCAACTAGTTTATTTTCTGGATATTGAAGCATAAAATTAGGACTAGTAAAAAGCTCTATCAATTCTGTTCATGGAACCAGCACGAAACGAGGTATACCGATGACTAGTTCAACAATACTCAATTAGATTACACTAAGCAATGAATTCACCAAATGCTCGAGAACAACTCATATTCATTATACCACTCCTTTCATTTGCTAGCAAAGTTTCATTAAAATCACCTACTAAAACCCATGGAAAATAAAAAGCAGACTCAAGTAAACAAAGATCCTCCCACAATAATTTCCTACCAGTTGTGTCACCATTTGCATAATTTCCCACTCCCTTTTGGACTTTTGTTCACTTCTGATTCAGAACTGGACAGTCCACTAACTAATGTCCCAGTATTCAACGGCCATTGTGAGCCCATACTCCTTGCGGGCCTCAAATTCTCCCTATCTAATTGTTGGTCTGGACTGACATCATGAAATACCCTCTCCTCATGCATCTTACACGCTGTAACAGACCAGAAAATATTGCAGGCTGGCTGTCATAACTTCTGGAAAACGTATGCAGTCATCTAGCAATTGGAAATTTGAATTGGAGTTAACATCTAGCTTTTGCAATATTCTTGCTGTACATTCGATCGGTAAGAATAGGACTGATATCATCCAATAGAACCTCAACATTAGCAGCTCCATCACAATCCACCTCAACCTCCACAGCGCCATCTTCTTCCCCATCATCCTTCTCTGTAGAATTTGAATTTAAAGACAAATATTTATCTTGTTGAACCGCGAAATTTCGTATACAAAATTGGCTGTTTGCAAAGTCTGGTTATGTGTTGGAGATTCTTTGATCGTTATGCTATATTCGACACCATCCAAAACAACTTGTTCTTGCACACAGTCTCTCATTCTAGTTCCAATTAATTTGACTTTTAATTTTTATTTAATTAACTTAATTTCTTGTCGAATTAGCAATTTACCTGCCAAACCAATTAATCAATAAACATCTTGAAATATTTATCTACTCATTCATTCCAAATCTCAATTAACAAAGTTACCTGGATCATTTAAAATGAAATGGATTAAACCCGTACTAATTTTTATAGTACATTTTGGCAAGCTACGGTAGCACCTTTTCTTCCGGCTCATCATCAACTTCACTTTGAGTTTATATATGTTCATGAGTACCTACATCGCAAGACAACTTGATGAGCTTATGCTCAGCAAGTGTAGTAATGTATGTATGTCACATAATGCATGATGCAATGAAATTTATTTTCATGACTTTGAAATACATTTTTTTGATATATATATATATATATGGCATGACATGCAATCCATGAACATTAATTAACAATAAACAAGTCGAATATCATTGAACACAAAACATACATTTATGAAACACTAACAATACATGGAAACAACATTAAACCAATCTATGAACATCAAGATCACAAAATTGCCTTTAGGCCAAATTCAACCACTACAAAAAAAAAAGCAATTAGTAATGAAATTTTTCATCGCTAATCGATGAAATTCCGTCGCTAATATCAATTAGCAACGAACAACAATAGAAAAATTTCCATTGCTAATTTACTTGTTGCTAATTTTTTGAGACAAAAAATCCATTCACGTCTTCGAGGTTTAGCGAGGAACTATCTATCGCTAATCGGAAAAAAATCGATCGCTAATCTTGTCATGGGATATGTTGTTTCTTTCGTAGCTATTTTGTTGCTATGTCTCGTTGCTATTCCGTCTCTATTCCGTTTCTAATTTTGAAAATGAATTTGTCCACTAGGCCATTGCTATTTCGTCGTTAAGTGTGAAAATGAATTTGTCACTAGGTCGTCGCTATTTAGTTGCTAATTTTATTTTATGTTTTTTTTAAAATTTTTACATTATTAAGATTGTATTTAATAATTAATATTTCATAATTAATAATTTTAAGTAACAACATATATATCAAAAATGAAGTAATATTAACAATACCATTCTAGAGTATATTTCATAAAAAACAAAAACAAAGTTACTAAATGCCCTATTGCTCATTCTCGCTTGTCTAATCCCATATCCTCCTCCTCATACCGTGTGGTGGGCTCGGTAGGAGGATCGGACTGGAGGCGAAACAAAAGGGTGTATGGAAGGAACGTAGATCGTTAACTAACGATAGATCTATAGGCACTCGGTTGTTTGTGCCAACCTCATCACTAAGGATGCCATCAAGTCGTACCGAGATTTCAAATTATAAATAGTCCGATGCTGCTACGAGATCTAGCTTTGGAGCTCATTTTGTAACATCCGCATCTTTTTCATTGTTTCCTTCATAGCCTCGTAGTCCTTTCGAAGCTCTTCATTAGTTAAGTCGGTGGCGTAATGCTACATCGTAGATGAGGAGTTGCTATTATCCGACTGGGATAGATAATGCCCGGTGCCTATACCATAACATCTTTTCTTCTTCTTCCCAAATAGCCTCGAGGTATATGGCATTTTCGTCAACTTCGAGCTCCATAATTCCTATTGCCATTTGAGCTATAATTGCTTCATTGATGAGTTGCTCTATATGGTCCTCCATAATCAAAATAATGATATCATCATTACATGATTAAAATAAATTTTGGATTATCTTTTCATATTTAATATTTTAATTGAAAAACACTTACCATTGTCTTCCGGGAGCTCGGATCGATGAATGAATCATCTTGTCGCTTATGAGTCATCTAGAATAACTCAAAACTCATTGATTGATGGCCCAATTTTATCACCTAAAAAAAAATTCATCACGGACAATATGAGAAGAAAATTAAAATTTTTCGAAATAAGTAAATAATAATAAAGAGTGTGAAATTTACCAAGTGATGGGCATGGTTTTCTAAAGATATACGAGCCTCCCGTATGCCCGAAAGGACCCACACTAGGACCACCGGTCTCGACAATCGATTTTGCGAAGCTTGCTTTAAACGAGCCATGCCATCGGGTCTCCCGAAATCGCTCGCCATACATCCCATACCTCCTCGCTAATAGAAATGGGTCGATCATTCATCTTACCGATCTTGTAGATGAAGTCGACGTAGTATTTCTTTGCCACACCCTCCTATGCAGCTACAGCAAGTGCCTTTATGTTGATATCTTTGTCAAAAAAAATTTACACGAACAAAAAAAATTAATATTTACAACTTTATATGATGAGAAATTTTTATTGTAATTATAAAGAAAATTGATAATACATTACGCAAATGTCACCGAAGTAGAAGTCTTTAGTGATGTCCGTGATAGACTTCTAGGATGATCCACTATTGTCTACCCATTCCTTAAAAATCTCGGAGATCTTTATAGAATAATCTTTACTAGGCGAAGTCAAACTATCGAACAACAAAATGATAAAAAAGTATTAAAAAGAACACGGGAATTATTGAAATTATATATTAAAGTAAAAAAATAATTACATAGTGTCCTCGATCGATAGAAATACGTTGTAGACTAGAAGAGCTATGGGAAGCTGTCCGGAATGTCGGACATGTAAGCGGAGGGGCCACTCTTGGAGGTCAATGATGGAACCTCGGGTGTTGATATAGGAACACTTATTGATGCGGATATGCTAGCTTCATGACTTGCGAGAGCCGTGGGACCCATGTAGAAGGCTTGTCATCGGAGAACCATGATCGATATTGGTAGGCGATCCTAGTAGACTACCATTAGACGGTGATGCTCATTCATGATTACCAAAATACGATCCGATAGTGACTATAGGGGGATGAAGAAAATCACGATTATCACGAGTCAATGTTGTATGATCTAACGTTAAACAAATAAACAAAATATAACAAATACATTTTCGGAGTAAAGTAATAGGTAATTAAATTAAAATACATCATTTTTTATGGATAAAAAATAACCAAAATAGACAAGAACATTTATTTGTGGTATAAAAATCGATATCATTAATCGTATGTAATAAATTAATAACGAGAAAAAAATCACATCAATTCTTACTAATACAACAAATGAAATATAAATTTAATTAAAACTATTGTAATCATTGTTTAAGTTATCATCTCCATCATCCGACACATTTTTACAATAGTTATCATCATCAACCACATCTACTTTTATATCTAGACTTCCTCTATCAATTCGTGTTGGATTTTCGAATCGTCCTATTGAAATGGTTCAACATGTTGTTGGATGGTAGTTGATGAATCAAGAAAGTCAAATACATACTTAGCTTTGATCTTACACATAGCCTACCAATTTTAATTCTTGCGCCTTAAGCTAGGGTAGTCCATATAATACACCTACGCCAACCGTGGTGCTTAGACAAATGGTTTATAATTATTTAAGGTTCTCTTACAGTTAACATTTATAAGTTTGTACTACGGATGAACTCTTGTTCCTTGTGGTGTAGGATCAAACCAATCATATTTGAATAATATTATTCTTTTGATTGGTAATGCGAGATATTCTACTTCAAGAATTTTTATCGGTATCCCGTAATAGTCACTCTCAGCTATACTTGTAATTGCTTCCTTTAATATAGACACCGCTATTGAAAGATCCTATTTTTGAAGATCCATCAATTATGTAAAACCTATAATCATTAACAAAATAATCGCTTTACAATCTTACCGTAAGCAATGGGGCTTGTGCAAGATCTTTTAGGAACTATTCTTTTATGAAAATTGCTTATGTATTTTGTGTACGTAAACTAAATATAAAATCCCCTATAAGTTTAATTCTCTTTCAATTAATGCTATTAACAAACTAAACATATAAAATGATACTAATTATATATTGATTAAATCAAGAGGTAAACTCATTTTCAATTAGAGCATTGGCCTCATTCTCGGATATGAAGGGATTGTTCGGTTATATTTCGACAAGAAATCCATTAAAGAGAAGAGAATAAACAAAAAACTTGAGTTAATCTTTACTATATTGCTAATATTATTAAATGTAATAAAATAGGTATGATATAGAATTTGAATTTTGATAAACTCACTCAATGTAAGGTTTTACTTCTTCATAATTCAACAATATATATTGGTGGGTTCGCTTGGTGTTCTAGTTGTGTCAATTTTCGTATTGTGTGTCGACTAATTGGTCAACTTTGTTATTTGAATATGGATAACATCTTTCTAATGTGGTCGCTTTGTTCTCCGTAATAGTAGTCAACATTATGCGGTACTTTTTGATGCCTAGTATGCAAATGAGGCTCGAAATATTGCAAGTAAAATAAAGAGGCTTTTTCGACTAAATATGCATTGCATATTGATCCTTCCATTTTAGCCTTATTCTCAACATTATTTTTTAACTTCTGTAAATACCTACGGAATGAATTATTTTAACTTTCAAAAGTTAGAAATTTATTTAATTCTACATTTAAATTAAATGCAATACCTTTCAAATGGATACATCCATCGATATTGCATATGTCCTACAATAGATGCCTCATATAGTAGATGGATTGAAAGATGTTCCATGGAGTCAAAAAAGTTAGGTGGAAATATACGCTCTAGTTTATACAAAATGATGGGTATCTCATCATTAAGTCACAACATATCTTCTTCCCTTATTACTTGTAGAAGTCAATTGCTTAGAAAACAAACTCAACTCTATAAGTGTCTGCCAAATATTTCCCAACAAAAACTCCCTAAATGCAATTAGAAGTAACCTCCGTATGAAGTGAGTCATGAATTTTCATCCCATAAAGTTTGTTATGCTTGCATATCAGCATATCTAGCTAGATTAGACACATATCCATCGAGAAACCCGAGTTATTTTATCTATTCAATCAATTTTGTTTTTTTGTTATTTAGATAAAGTAAATGCAGCTTTAGGATACTTATTAAACACATCATCCTTTGCTAATTTTGGCCTTTTATAAAAAAGTTTCAAGTCTTTACTAGAGTTGG